AAGAATGAAGCGAGAAGTGTCGAAGTCGAAATCTAAGTATGTAAGAATGGTTAGGACATTTAACGTCCAATCCATTTCTAATTTTTCCCTAATGCGTTCGGAATCGAAAATCGCAATTCGCCTGAGTCCATATAGTAACTGCATAATTATGTAGTACTGAGTATGCCTCCTGATTGTACTAGATGAGAGTAATAACTCACGAAACGATAGTTGAATCTATAATAAATTATATGATATTAGTAAATCTAATCATATTATCTACAATATTTGAATATTCGTATGTTTAAACTTACTATAACCTCATCTTCAGGAATCGTTCGATCATAATGTCGTTCACGCATCAACATACACACAACTTTCAACTCTACATTACACCGTTCAGAAACCGATCTCGCATGTGCCGACCATATCCTCTTCTTCTCACCTGAATTATTTATCAGTGAATATTCATGAAGCAACCGTCTTAAAAAAATTATAGTATCAGGGTTAGCCCTCCGAACGACTGGCGACTCAATTATCTCCCTGAATAAAAAATATATATATAAATATATGGCAAAATAATTAAAAATTACTAACACTTACGCATTTTCTAAAATTCCTCTGTTAGGCGAGATGACGGCTTCAAGAATTACACGACACATAATTATTTTATAAAATATAAAAATATAAAAAATTTTAAATAAACAAAACTAATAAAAAGGACTAAATAATACAAATGTACGGATCAACGTTAAAAACACGACTAGTCTAACATCTGGGTCTCTAGATATTTCATGAATACAATACGCTCGATGAAACCTTAAAAGAGATGTCGACTTACCCAGAATTGTTAGGGTATGTCGGAACACACACGTCGTTGGCTGTATATTCCTGAAGATTGTAATTGTATAAGTACATTATTCTTAAATGTGTTACAAATACAATCATGTAGCATAAGACGTTGATACATAAATGTATCAACCAGTTATTACATTGAGATGTGTACAATAATATTCATACAGCTATATACATTAAGAATCATAATAATAGTATAACAGGTGTGTGGCCTAGTGGGTTAAAGCGTCGGTACCATAGCTCGGGGGTCGTGAGTTCGATCTCGCCAATCTTTTTTTCAATATTTATTTAATGGAAAAATATATTACAATAATATGCACGATAATATTGTATATGTACAATAATATGGTATCATATGACTGTTAGATAAGAGACTGATAACTCTATGTTGTACGCATGCGCTATACGATGACGAGCAAAGACGGGGTGGGATAAAATATACGTCGCGCACGTGCGCGATCGGGCGGCGGTGATGACTAGGACGAGCAAGGATCGGGGGGATGACGAGTATGACGAGTATGACGAGTAAATTTGGTGCCAGAACTATCCTTTTTATCCTACTGGTGTATGGTGTTCAAAATTTATCTTACCTATCTTTTCCGTTGCCCGGAATAAAAATTCTGAATCGCAGCAGTATATTATCAGGTGCTGTTTGTACGGAAGTGTATGATTTAACTCTAAATTATCAAAGTTATACCAAGTTTATTTTGATATAATACGGTGGATTAATATAACAAATTTGGTTGCTCGTAAAAAATCACAACTCTTAAAAAAATTATGATTGTTGAACTCCTTTTGGGTGTAACTTGCTGGGGTAAGTGCAACTCAGCCACCCTGGTAGGCAATGTTCAATAATTTGATTTGATGCAAGCTTGTACCTGATCTGCCCGAATAACCAATGGCAACCAATAAATAAATGCTAATTTCTAATGTAGACTGTAACCAATGGCAACTATTAATAAATAAAAATAAAATTTCCATCTTGAATCTCAATGTCCCTGTTTGAGCACCTATTTAAAATGCGAATTTCGAAAAATCCTTTCTTAGCGCACGTCTACATCATAATAGCTATCTGTATGCCAAATTTCAGCCAGATCCGTCCAATGGTTTGAGCTGTGCGTTGATAGCAGTCAATCAGCTTACTGTTTTATATATACAGATATATATATATATATTATAATATATAATAAAACAACATTACCATGACAATATTTATTTATTTACGGACATGTACGTTTTCGCGTTCGTATGGCCGCCGGTTCGTACGCGCCGCCGGTTCGTACGCGCCGCCGGTTCGTACGCGCCGCCCGTTCGTACGCGCCGCCCGTTCGCTTTTTTTTCCTCACTACCGTGCGTAAAGAAGTATAACTTCAAAAGTATTTGTCAAATAGAATTCATAATTTATAAATATTGCTCAAATACAAGTTACAACGTACTTTAGACTCCCTTTAACAATAGACTCCGTAATAAGAATGCTTATTATTCTTAGTTCTTGGTAGGTATTATGGTTTATGGCTACAAGTCTACAATAATAATAAAAATTAAAAATAATACCATGACAAATAAAATTTGTTCATTTACGAATTAGGTACATAATCTTAAAAATACAAACACGAATTTTGCATCATAAACTATAATAATACTAAAAAGGCTTAAAAAAAATCAGAAAATGTTTGGGAGGGCTATTGAAGTGTTTGGGGGGGCTTAGCCCCTAAAGCCCCCCCTATTTGCGCCTATGGCTAGGTAATAGTGGTAATAAGCACATTTAATAATATTATATTATATACCATATAGCCCATATAGGGTAAAACAAAATAATTTAACTGCAGGTAGTGACCTAGCTATATTATGTACAAAACATAATAATTATTACACTATACGACCACTACAAACCACAATCCTACAAATGATTTTTTTTTATTCACAAAAATATATATCTACTTAGTACTTAGAATTAAGTACAAGATTAAATACTTCCTATAATTATAAATATCAGATATGACCAAGGAGTGGAATACTTATGTCTCTGGATCTATGTCCTCCGCAAAGTCCGGAAACGGATGATTCCGATGACTTGAATTAAAACTAAATGTTCCTAGCTGTAAAGTGTGAATACCCATAGCAGTATAATATCTATATTATATTATTATGTGATTGTTAAGTCACAAGTAGTAAATTAGTTATCATAATCATAAACATGTTTATATAATATATTATATTCATAAAGTAGGTAGGTAGGTTATAACTTATAACTTATAGTAGTGTCGTACCTAATAAACTAGTAGGTAGGTAGTTTAGTTGTTATAACTACTAAATAGCACTAATTCACTTAATATTAGTGGTCTAGGACACTATAGGTAATGTTTTGTTAGTAGGAAAACTTGAAATTTCTTGTTTGACCTATAACAGCTTTTTGCTATGCATTTATTATTTTGTCATATAGCTACCTTGAAATACCCCACCTAATATGCTCTTAAGATACTTACAACGGATTATGTTATTATGACGTCTGATAATTACCTATTGCATTTATTATTTATGATACATATACCCGCTAGCTGCTAACATATCCACATTTTTTTACTTCAGCAGTACAGAATTGTAAGTTTACAAAAAAGTTATTTTTATATTATTTTAAGCCTACAAATTTATGGTTTTTAAGTTAGGTACCTAAGTAATATAATATTGTATAATAGTAAATAGCAGGGCTTGCAAACGATATAATAACATTATGATTAGGTATAACGTTATATTTGACAAAAAAACGATTGAAATTTGTAAAGTTGTTATAACGGAAAGCGATAATAAAAATAATTAAATACCTCAAGACAAAACATAACGATTAACAAAATATATTATACATCATTAAACAAAACATAACGCAAAACGAAATATTTTTAAATTTATTTATTTAAAAGGTCTATTTTTTTTCGTAAAAACATTTATTTCATGCTGACAATCTAAGAATGTAAGAAATGAATATATTATACTCCGTATCCGGGCCATTACTTACCTGCATTAGTTATTATTTTTAAATTTAATAAGTATTAACACTATTTTAAATAACGATAAACGCAAAAGTTGGATAACGTTTTAATTCTGAATAACGATAAACGCAAAATATATTAATTATATATTAATCTTAATAAATTAATATTGTAAAATAATATCAATATTAATTTTTTAACAAAAAAAAAATACACAGTCACGTTTTAATTTTATGTGTGGGTAGCTTCCATATTTGCACTTACGGATAAAATATTTGTGCCCTCAACCCTACTCTATGCCTCAACCCTAAGATACGATACCAAATCGTCTAAATGATAAATAGATATTTTCATTGAGCTTAGTATTGAAAAAAATCGTAAACTCTTTTTATAGTACCATTGACATAGGTAGCATAGCGCCATAGCCTCATAGGTATTAGGTACTGGGTATCAAGTATAAATTATTTAACCATAAAAAAAGAAATATTCAGTCATAATGTAGGTAGACAATAATATTAATATTATGTAAGAACATTAACATTAGGTAGGTACCACAGATATATACAATATCTGTGGTACCTACCTACTTAATAGAAATTATATTACCTATATAAATTTAAATAATCGTACACTCATGGATAATACACAATAATAATGAATATTATAATTATTAATTAATCCTATTAATGTTGAAATGTAAAATATAATACATGTTATTATGCATCGTTTATTATCTATTCGTACCTATGTTTATGATAACGCCGTTCCAGGTGCCAACTCTTCAACTCTTGATAAACGTAAAATGTAAAATAGTAAACACAAACTTACTGTGATAACGAGAGAGTAGACTCGCTACGAGACGTGTTCGTGTGCGATCGACTACCTACTTATTTTATTTATTATTATTTATTAGTATTTAGTAGTTTAGTACTTTATCGCTTAATCATTACTATGATTTGAATAAACTTTGATCTCTTAGTTTAAAACAAAACGGTAATTATTACCGGTTGCCGAAATTATCTATCGTTTTGTGTGTTTATATTATATATGTATTTATATATATTATTTCAAATGTCCGGGACACGACATTTCACAGAAATCGTGTTCGTGCGGGGACTAGATCTGGTTCGAAACAAGTGAAATAACAATTGGCATTCAGATAATCAACCCGCGACTACGATGACTAATGTCATAATGAATGACGAATGGAGAACATTGTATCTAGCTCGAGCTCTGTATGATGCCGTCGAGGATTGTAATATTCAGTATGTATCTTTGTCTCATACCTACATGTTTTTGGTTAAAAATATTAACAATCTGTTGAAGAAGATTTGAATGCCATGTGAATGCAATCAAACTGCGTCACAGCAATGTATCTATCTTCAAATCGGATAGACCTTTAATAGTCCAACAATTTGATAGTTTGGTTCATACAAACTAAATAAACTGTTAAATTTATTAAATGTCTGTGTGTTTGTGAACTGGTATTTATCATTTAAATTTTAAATTATTATTTTTGTTTAGGCAAGTCAATACTTTATTATCTCAGAACAAAGCCAATCCCAATGTACTCATACCGGAAGAAGGGATGACAGCATTTCATTTAGCTGCAGGCCATGAAAACTTGGCATTCGGAAAAGTAGCAACTTCATTAATTTTACATAATGGTGGTGATCCTAATGTACGTTGTGAAGGAAATCGTACAGTTCTGCATATAGCTGTTGCCTGGAATCGTTCACAGGTTGTTGGAATTTTGCTCAAAAGTCCTTACATTATACCCAATCCGTACATAAAAGATGAAGACAATCTCAATGTATTTAACTATGCTGTGAAATTTAGCGCTTGGGAATCACTTGCAACTCTTCAATCTTACATGAAACGTTCAAACTACACAAGTAAGTACAAATCATAGTTTTGCAAGGTCTATAAGAACAAACAATTATTATATATAATTCAGACCACATTTTAATATTAATTGTTTTCACAATTAATTAATACTTTTTAATATATGTTTGTTCTTAAGGTTTTTTGTATACAATCACTTGATTTGTTCATTATTATTAAAAACATTTTTTATATTAGGTAATTTAAAAAAACAAGTTTCTAATGCAATGCAATCAAAATATATTAAAGAGAAATATCAAAATTCTAAAAAATCACAGAATACTGAAACATCTGTTGGTGCTGAATCAACAATTGATAAATCCGATAGATTACACACAAGCAGTGGATATCTTAATAGCGGTGAAAGTTTAAATAGTATTTCTAAATCAATAACATTTGATTCAGTTAGTCAAAAAAACAATAACATTGATGAATGCATAATATTATCTTCAACAGCTTACTCTTATGGCGATGTTTTAAACAAAAATGTTTCATCAGATTATAAACTACCCATTAATGATATCCCATCAAAACTTTATTATGATGGATCTATATTAAGTTCAATCAAATGCTTAACAGATGAATTTGAAAGTATAGAAAACATAAGCTTTCCATCTAATAATTTAATAACTGATTCCGAATTGTTTGATCTTGACGAGATTGAATTGCGAACAAGAAATATTTTCAGTGAGATAGAAAATATAGCTTTAAGTGACATTGACAGTGACAGTGACAGTAACAGTGACTTGATGTCAGATATATCTGGATTATCTAGTTGTTTGAGTTCCGATGATTTTTTTACATGTCGAGATACAAATTCCGAACAACAAATTCTTAATGGTGATACTTATAAGACTGACACTCAATTGGAAGATATTACAAAAAGCGTATCAATGACAAGTATTTATGATTCAATGAGGTACTTTATTTATTATCTGTTACTATTATTAGGGCTGTGAATTTATAGGAAAATACATTCCTTTTAACTTATTATAAAACATAACTTCACAACTTCCTTTACACAAAGTTTTAATTAGAGACTGAACATTTAAGAAAAGCAATTAATGTATTGGTTTTTCAATGCATTTTTTGTGCGTGTGTGTGTGCATGCGCATTTTACAGTAAAAGTTACTTTGATCTTCAACTTTGAGTATGGTTTCTGATGGAAAATTAGATTTAGTTGGTACTTTTCCAGTAAATTTCAAGCTAATTTGGAATACTTGAATTTTTTACTAAACCAAACGTTGACCTTATTCAACAAAATCACGAACATTTGATAACTATTTTGCAGTTAGATATTTATAATAAATTCAATTTTTTTAGCTAAGACAATTAATACGTGTTCCTCATAAAATCCAACTATTTTTAGAAATATATAAGGCATTTTTTTTTCTAGAAATTTAAAGTTTTATTTAGACAAAATTATATATTTAAACAAAGAATAACGATGTAAGTAGTTTTTTTTGTAGTAATTCAAAAATATTATTCGTTAGGACTAAATACTTATACATATTAATGTATACATGTATTAGTTTATTAAACTTATTTAGTGTAGTAATTATTTGATATTCGATTACTTGTACAGCAGTTTTAAAGGTTTTTTTAGTACATTACATTCACAGCTCTAATTATTATAAAATATTTTAAGGTATTCATTAATTTTGAAAAATCTATAGATATACCTAATAAGTATATAAGTATATCTTTTATTAGCTTTATTTTGAGAAAATTGTTTATAAATTCAAAATTGTTTGGCTTTTGTTTGTTTTTACTTTAAAATAATATTTATTTCTACTTCAGATATAATATTATGTTCATAGTAATTTTTATTACAATATATTTTATTTTGTTAAGCTTATATTTTATTGATTTATATATACTATTTAATATATTTTTTCAGAAATTCAATTTCCAGAACATCAGCTGCACTAAACAATCTAGAAGTTTCAAACATTATTACTTCTCTAGGTATAAATTATAAATATTAGTTTTGCTTTTCACAATTGTTAGTTTATTTCATTCTTGTACATTTAATATTTTTCTTGATGATGATTTTTCGTTTTTTACTTAGACGAGAGCAGTAGTAGTAGTTTAATTGAAGTTTCAAAAGATTATGATACAGATTATGTTCGTCAAAGTCTTAGGGAGTTTGGCCATCCTCCAGGACCACTAGTACCCAGTACAAAACAAGTTTATGTACGACAACTTAACAGACTATTACATAGGCAAACAGAACTAAAGGATGAGGATAAGCATATTAATAATTCATCTGGTATATTTTTGATTGTTATTACATGTTTATATTTAATACATATTTATAGTATAACTTATTTTTTATTTTGAAAGGTTCATATAGTCTGCAGTTGGCTAAAGTTCTAATTGACGATAAATATAATTCATGGAAGAAAACTATAAAAAGTTGGAGTTCTCTGGAGGAAACCATTGTTTGCGCCGAGAGTGGTTCGTCATTTACATATTTATTGTTAGATCCACGTATAACAAACAATTTACCCGCTCGAGCTGATGAAATGAATAATCCCATTGAAATATGGCAAACATTTATTAAATCAATATTTTACATTGGTAAAGGCACCAAATCTAGACCCAACGATCATATGAATGAAGCATTTCAGTCTTGGGTCGCAAATGGAAATAAAGATAAAAGTCGCAAAGTATGTACCATTGTAAAATTGTTCATTGAATATAATTATTATATATTGCATTTTATGTTTGTAATAATATAGACGGAATATATTTTGAGCTTATGGAAGGAAAAATTGGGGGTGGTTTGTGTACAAGCATTCCATCATTTAGTGATTAAAGAAGCACATATTCGAGAAGCGGCTATGATTGATGCTATTGGATTGGACAAACTTACAAATGAAAAGCGTGGTACCTACTACAATAACACAATAAGATGGTTAAATAGTGATCGATGTAAACTAGGCTGCCATCTTCTATACCGTGCCATGCTTGTGTTTTTAGCTGACGGTGAACGTCAATTGCGACCAGTTGATTTGACCTAATTGTTGACATACTATTTTTACTGTAGTATATTTTAAATTTTTTCTCAAATAATGACTATGATTTTAAATCTAGCCTTTCCTCCCCTTAATATTAGTTATAAAGAAATCTATATTTCTGAATTTTATTATATTTTATCGGAATATTTTTGTATTACAATAACATTACAACAATAATATTTTATTTTTTATTAAATTAACAATTGATTTTGTGATAACTTAGTGTCTACAAACACTTATAATTTAGTTAAATTATAATACTATATTTTTTTATTATAAAACTATATTTTTGTATTATAAATATATTTTTACTTAAATACTTAAGCTGGTTTATATTATTATTTGATGTCACTAGTTTACCAACCAGTATGTCAGGCAAGTTACTATTGATGTGTGTTTAAACTTAAATAGGTATGTCCAGACAATGTTAACAAAGCGACTTCATTTCAAATTATTTGCTATAATTATTTCCACTTTTTGATTATTATTTTTAATTTTTATTTGTGATTGTGTATTATTTAACTTATATCTATTTAATATATCGTATTATGAATTGAGTAATACCCATAATATTTCAATGAAAAAAATAATAAATTGAAAAACTACAAACACAATCATACTATATTGTAATAATATAAATAATTTCATTCTGTGATCAAGAATTTATTATAATGAATAATGAAAGTAAACAAATTAATAAAATTGATAAATAATGTTTATAAAAAAATCTATTACTGTTTAAAAAAAAAAGTAAAACTGTTTATACACATGTGTATTATGTATACAGTGTGTAAACGGTAATCGAGAACACTCAATATCTTTGCGTAGAGACCTGCTATTTGAATTCCGTTTTTTTAGCAGTTGTTATGACATAAAAATACACATTTTTATGGTCTTTGAATTTTTTTACTTAATTAGTCACGCGCATGCGCATGTCAACTTTTTTTTTTTTTAATGGCAACCCCCTGCTTTAACCACTAATTATTTTTGCCTATTTTTTTAATGAATTTTGGTAGTTGAATTAACTTTCTAGGTCCAAAATTGACCAAGTTACAGCCAATCAAACAAAAGAAAAAATTAGAAAAAAAATGCGCTCGATTTTCAGATTTTTGATTTTAACTCTGAAAATAATTATTTTAGGATTGTTAAACATTGACATTTTTGTAACTATTTATTACGGTGATATTCATAAGTTATTTTAACTTCAATTACCTACTGAATAATTTTCTCTTTAATTTGTGTAATAAATCATATAACTTATTATAGCAGAAAAAACGTAAATTAGTATGTTGTTTATTTCTTTACATTTAATGGATCTATTAGAACGTATTAATAATTATTAATTAATAACAAATTCAATTCTTATTTAAGTTACCAATTTATTTAGTTAATAAAAATCTAAAAATAAAAAAAAAAATCTAACGAATAAATTGTTCAAACTGTTCTCTGCCGTGAACAAAACATGATTCAGCGCGAGAAAATTATTCAGTAATTGAAGTTAAAATAACGTATGAATATCACCGTAATAAATAGTTACAAAAATGTCAATGTTTAACAATCCTAAAATATATATTTTCAGAGTTAAAATCAAAAATCTGAAAATCGAGCGCATTTTTTTTCTAATTTTTTCTTTTTTTGATTGGCTGTAACTTGGTCAATTTTGGACCTAGAAAGTTGATTCAACTACCAAAATTCATTAAAAAAATAGGCAAAAATAATTAGTGGTTAAAGCAGGGGGTTGCCATTTAAAAAAAAAAAGTTGACATGCGCATGCGCGTGACTAATTAAGTAAAAAAAATTCAAAGACCATAAAAATGTGTATTTTTATGTCATAACAACTGCCAAAAAAACGGAATTCAAATAGCAGGTCTCTACGTAAAGATATTGAGTGTTCTCGATTACCGTTTACACACTGTATAAGAATTATTTATTCAAGACATTTAGGTTACAATTGTTGTGTAGAGTTTCCATTGTATGTGTTGTTTTCATCATCATCAGAGTTGTTGGTATTCAATTGGTGGATATTAGATGATTTATACGTTGTCTTTCTAAATGACAAAAAAAAATGCAGTTATTTAAATGGATATATTTAACAATATAATATATTGCATTTACTTAGCATGAGTTGAATCACACTAGTTGCCTCCCATTCTTATCACAACAAAAAGCTCTATGCATACTAGTTGCCCTTGATGATCGGATAGATTATAATAATATACCAGTTGCCTCCCAAAAATGTTCACACTAATTGCCTCCTATACAGAAATAAGTAGTGGCTTGAAACTTAATTAAAGTAATAAATAATATACCACATACCTAAATAGAAGAATCTATCAATAACATTGGTTGAAAAAACTTTTTGGACTGCATTCAGAAATTAAAAGTTTTACGGGCTTGTTGTACCAAAATTAAAATCTTTTAGTCTTATTTTAAAAAATAATGGCCATATGGGATTGTCACGCAATCTCGTGGTTGCCGACGACTGATCTATAGTATTATATAATATAATAATATCTATAAAATGTATAATTATAAGCATATAAGTTAACAAGAACATTATTGAATATAGAATAATTAAGTATAAACACATTGAAATATTGATTTGAATTCAACCATATATTTATTTTTAATAATTATTATTGTAGTGAACATAATGATTTCATTTAAATTGTTGAACACTTTTTAGATATTTAGAAATATATAATATTATAAAACATCAGTCAGCATCCATAGGTCATAAGTACAGTGAAACTTCCATATTACATAGCCTGATGGGCAACAAATAAAATTCATATTATAGAGAATTTGTTTAAATAGAATTAAATTAAGTTGGTTTTAATTAGGTTTGGCTCATAAAAATATTTTCTTAAATAGTAGTTTCACTGTATAAATGTATGTATATTTAAATATACTTGTTTCATAATTACTTGTTTTGATAATCATATCATTATATAAAAGAATATACAGTGTGATCACGATTCTAGGTACCACTGAATATCTCAGATGGGTGACTTTGTATTGAAATGGGGTTTTCGGGAGGTGATAGGGAGCACTTAAATACATATTTTCAGACCAGTTTCAAATTTTTAGCTCACTCGGTACGCGAAAGCGCAATACAACTTACTTTTTTTTAAATATCAACCTCAGTTTTTTTCTGCAGATTCGGCTAGAGTGGTTATAAATGAAAATATCATTTAAAACAAATTAAGCATAAATCCAATTTTTGACTTACTCTAACTTGGTCAGTTTTGAAAATTGAAAAAAACTTTTTATACAATAAATGTTTAAAAAAATATACTCTACCCGAATCTGCAGAAAAAAACCTGGGGTTGCCATTTAAAAAAAAGTAAGTTGTATTGTGCATACGCGTACCGAGTGAGCTAAAAATTTGAAGCTGGTCTGAAAATATGTATTTAAGTGCTCCCTATCACCTCCCGAAAACCCCATTTCAATACAAAGTCACTCATCTGAGATATTCAGTGGTACCTGCTATCGTGATCACACTGTATATTTAATGTTTAGTCATGTAATCATTTAAAATATTCATACATTTTTTAAGTCATACATTTGATGTTGGAACTGTTTAAGGATTCCTTATACATAGGGTTAGTTGAGAAGTATCTTTTATATAGTTTGGACGCAGTTCATATACATTTTATTGTTTTGACTTTTGGAGGCAACTAGTATACTGCAAGGTGTCAATCATGTGAATGGTTAAATCAAATTGTCTATTCAAACCAACTAGCTTAATGCAAGTAAATATGAATGATTATGTTAGTATAAACTATTTAAAATTGTTTTTTCATAAATTAATTGAATAAATTTGTTTGAATTTGTGTTGTTAAACATTTCATCTTTAAGTATCAGCAAACTTCATGCAATGATTTTGTACCAATGTACCATTAATATTGTTCTTACTTGACAGTTTGTTTTTTATTTTTATTTTGATGATTAATCGTTCTTGAAGCTTCAACAGATGGTGATGGTCTCACAAAACTTATTAAAAAATGTTGAATAAAATTAAATGGATTGATAATGATAAAATTAAGTACTCCAAGCCAAGATTGATAATTGAGTATGGAATACAGCCATTGATTTGATTGTTCCTACATTAACATGATAAATAATATAAAACAAATAAACAATATAAATCAATATTTATGCAGTCGCATAAAATCATGTTTACGGGAGCGTAATTATTAAGTAATTTTTTGCGAAACCCAACATTAAAATAATAAAAGAGTTTTGATTTTTTATATTTACCATATCCAAATGTACATAAATAGTTGATGATGGACATAAATGTAATGCTTCTAATGTCTGGTTGAAATCTTCACTAGTAAATTGTCGATGAGCAATAAATTTTATGCCTCTAAAAATAAATGTTTTAGTTTAGTTCAATAAGATTTAAAAAATAAAATTGAACTAATTAAGACAGTTGTTATACCTTCTTGAGAGATTTAATTGACATAATATATAAGTTGCAATATCATTGAGTGTAGAAGTTGTTTGAAATTCTTTGACTATTGTAATATCTTTAAACGGAACTTTGAATTTAATTTTTGCAATACCATTGGATCTATAATAATGCAATAATTGTATTACTTTTTATAAGCTATAATGGAGAATTGATAATATCTACTATAAGACTTGATTTAAAAATATTTTTCAAGATATTTTATAAACATTATGGTGCATGTCCATAATTATATAAATATAAAGATTAAATAGACTACATAGGTTATAAAATTACCTAAGTTAAAAAGTTTAGTTTATTATAAAAAAAAAAAAAAACTAAAAAGAATACAAAGAATACAAAGAAATAGAATATATTTTCCGAAAATGTTAAATAAATATTAGAATATTAGAGACATAGTTTCTAGAGCAAGGCAAAAAAAATATTATTTTACATCAAAATGTACTCCTTAATAATTAATAAATAAATAATAATGTTTAAATAATATAGTAGTATAAACAAAGTATGATAATGTTATTAACTTTTAAATTATGTAAAAAAAAATTACTTTTTAATTTCTTCTGCAACTTTTTGGACACCAGCATTTATATTAGAACTATCAAAGAGCGGCAACTGAAATACAAATTACAATATTAAGCTATTAAAGTTACATAATCTAGAGACTAAACATGTAAAATGTTAGATTGTTAGACATTCATTAGTCATTACTATATTATCAGTAGTGTATTTTTGAGAGTTGAGAGTGGAGATGAATAATTCAGATGATTAGGTCAAATTACTTTTTTAAATCATTTAAGATTCTATAAAAATAAATAAAATTGAAATTGAAATAGAAATATGACAAATACACTATTTCTATAATAAATTAGTATATTATGAATAGATATTGTATACATATAACTTCACAATGCAAAGAGACAGTGAAATATTTAAATTACTAAGAAAAAAATAATTAATTTTTATAAAATATAAATATATTTAGTATTTTGTGCTATAGTAGGGTTACCTTTTTAGAAATATCAGTCAAGTATTGTAAATATTCCTGCTTTTTGTCATCAACATTGATTGTGTCTATAATTTAATGAAATTTGAAATAATAATTTAGTAAAATAGAACATAAAACATCAAACAAACCGGAAATATCTTTTATAATACAACAAATAGCATTCAACAATTGACGTTTTAAATCCAGATGAATATCATGGGAATTTGTTAAGACTTGTTTATTGTTTATGATATATTGTTGAGTATTATTTTTTTCTAGTAAATAAATTGATGGAATAACCACATTATTGACTGATTGAAGAAGGTTAAGTATGAATTTATTTACAATATATCAGCTGTGAAAGTTTAAATAATGTACATGCAAATATATGATTAATAAAATATAATTAGTTAATAAAAGTATTTGAATATTTATATACATAAGTTTAAAAAGCAAACACTAATGTAGCAAGACCTTAGTATATAAAATATTATTGGTGTTAAAATTAAAATTAAAATTGAATATGAAGTGTTTGATTCATTTAAAAATAGGTGTGTATTTTAATTATTAATTGTGTAGAAAATAAATTATTAATTAGGATTCATTTTATGTGAATAATTCATTCTGAACTCACCTGATTACTTGATCAGATTTGGCAGTGATTACTAACATCAAAAAGTATTTAAAATTACAACACTCGTGAGTGGTGTGTTCTTTGTAATTTATTAGAATTATGTTAAATATATTAAATAAAAAATCATCTATTTTAACTGTAAGAAAATTGTTGTTTGTATTTACATAAGGTTCTGATATGAGAATAGGTAATTAATTAATACAATCACATCAATAATAACCACTTGCAATGTTTGAATTGAATTGGAAAAGGACATTATACCCACGAGTGTTGTCTCCTACTTACTAATGTATAAAATAACAATTTTTTTGAGAAAAATAATCCATTTTACTCTGTAATTTTTAACATTAGAGACTTGACCTATTATAAAACTTAAATGTTAGATTATTACTTAGCGCCTAACCAAGGCTTTTTAGGAAAATTTAATTTTGAAGTAAGTTGGGATTGAAGAATAGATAAATGTACTCTATTAAATGTACAATTTAATATTTTGGGTGAAATAGAAGCAACATCTATTGAACCTACAATTCTATTGATTGACACTCAATGCTACATCAGTACAAAATAATAATAAAATGTATTTTGAATAATTAAACATGTGTATAAAAGTTCAGAATTATTAAAAATTATTGAGTTAAAATATTAATAAAAATAAAAGGATACAAATATCTTTAAAGTTTTTAAAACTTGGGCTTAGTGGATCCATTTTATAACATAAAATGAGTTCATTATTCAGCAGTTGAATTATATTTGTATCATCAAAAATCTTGGTAAGATCATCATTTCCATTTCCTAGAAATACAAATCATTATAATATACATTATAACATTTCAGGTAGGTAGGTACCTTATTATCTTAGAATTATCTTAATAGCTTATCTATAGGAGATCAAGTACTTTAAACAAAAGGCAAGAATGAATAAAGAAGTAAAATAAATTGTGTAAAATCAGTGTACCTATGTGCTCGTACCATTGCAAACAAATAATATTAATAAATACCTACCTATATACATCAAAAACGCGCAATTTCGGTCCGTCATTTGTTGTAGTGCTGCTTTGGAATCGCCTTCGAACCATTTTAGTGACGACATGGCTGTTGATGTCAATTGAATATTGATTTCGATGATGAGGTTTTTTTTTTAATTTGATGCACTCAACAACGACGTGTCGGGAACATGTTTAAATAAGAATTTTCGACAGAATTGTTGAACGGTGAATGGTTTTAAATTTTTTTTCGAAACTGCCGATCAATTACACGAGCAGTCGAGTGTAGATTCTGATTTCTGATACTCGGGCACTCGGCTATAATACAGCTATATGGATTATAGATGCACTGGCTTAGTGCCCTATATAGTAGTATTGTATATGTGTATGTGCGAGCGGGACGAGTGTTGGGTGGGACTGGCTGGTGGTAAATCGTTGTACTACACACTACAACTACAACAACTAAACACTACGACTAGCAGCGAGCAGCTAATCAATTCGTCGACTTATCTGTTATCACGGGTAATTGGTATCCGGGGGTAACATCATCATCGATCTTCTGCGTAGGGCCCTTAGAATAATGTAGGGCCACTTATTTTGTGTAGCTACGATTTTAATATATTCATCGTTGTGTAAACGATGATCGGCAGCCAAGTGCCGGCTCAATTGACGCCACCGAATACACCGCCCGACGATATTTAATACAATAAAAATGTATGCTCTAATGTTTATGGCGGCGATTGCTAATGAAAAATGACTCATACCAGTTTATCAGTAGATATTTACATTATTATCATCTCGTCGTTTACCGACGACGACTTTTGTTTTGTTTCGGCGTCTGCGCTCGTACAGCAATGATTTCGAATTTCGCTCGATGACAGCCGCAATATCTCTACGGTTTACGGAAAATCATTCATCGATCGCGAACAGTCGTTTCGAACGAAATTCGAGAGCACCAACATGACCGACGAGTTTATCAGGAAAGGATTGACCACCTCTGTGGCGCAGATATGTTCAAACATTGGTTGGCATTCCATGTCAAATTCGACACTGCAAATGATGACAGATATCCTGTACGAGTATTTCAGAGATCTAGCTCAGTCAGTCAAAAAATTCTCCGAGATTTGTGAGTATTAATTAATATTGCTCACGCTGTTGATTCAGCAACACTAAACATGGAATACGTCTTAATACGTAGTGTGTTATATGTACCTAGGTATACACCGATTCCTTTTTTGAGATATAATACTTTATTTTATCTTTGAAAGTATTGTTGTAATCTTCTTGTTACTGTTGTGTTTATTACAGTAACAGGTACATATATATACTAGGGTATATATATACCTTGTAGTACACAAATACGAGCGACTGCCCACACACTATTTGGTAAGGCTATAATGCTGCTGGTACCTAACCAATATTTATATCGAGGGATGGGAGTAGCTAGTTATTTAAATTACGCTACTTAAATGTCAGTAAAAATATTTTGAAAAATTTAGTTACTAGGTATGTCGTATATGTATTAAAGATTTTCAAGAAGAAAAATTTGGTATGTATCGATATGGAATAGTTACGTACCAACTGGAATAGTTTCGTACTGACTCGTATCAAAGTCTGAGTTTGATACGGGTCTGGTATGTATTGTTTGTACATTGCACATGTAACTTCTTGAACAATCTTAAACTCCAATTTCTTCCTTGAAAAACTTGATTTTATACATTCATATCAGACATTCTCAACCTGCATATCTAATGTCATACTTTTTTATGCGACCAAAAAAAACTCAAAATCAAAAATTATAGTTAAATTTTTATAGTAGGTACAATACTTACCTATTATTAAATGTTATAAAATTAGGTATAAATTTATTTTTAACCTTTGTGAATCATCCATGGGGTGGGGGGGAGGATTTAAAACTTTCAATACTTTGTGTTGAGAGCAATGTAAAAAATATGTAAGTGACCCAAACAAAAAAAGGTTGAGTATGACTGATTTAGATAATAGCATTGAATATTTCACATGCAGTAAGAAAAAAATTGTTTTCAACTATTATCTACGGTTCCACCAGATACCTGAAGATTTTATGGAAAATTTGACATCCAATCGAATAAAATACCTGTTTAAAATACCATATTAATTATTTTTGGTTACATATTTGTAAAGACTTTCATGCATCAATAATTATTAAATATGCAAGAAATGCAAGAAATATGCAGTATAAAATTTTCCCAATTAGTTTTTCTTTAATATTTAATTATTATTATTATAAAACAAAATTTAAATCGTGATTTACTATTTTATTAGTCACATTTTTTGGCTTTTTTAAAAACTACGGAGAATTTTAAATTTTGACCTCCCCAATGCACCAACTAGATTCACTTTCTAATCGAACAATATTCTAAAGTTTAAAATCGAAGCATTATACTTAACATAACGAATAATAATTTTACTGTCGGTATTTGTTGTAAAGAACATTATTTTAAAAATGTCCTAAATTTTTTATAAACAAGTTTTGCTGTGACCTGTGCTACTTTTTACATATTACATTTTTGATTATTTCATAGTTGATAACTAAATAAATAAATAAAAAAAATGTTTACTCTTTATTCTAAATGTATAAATAATGTAGCAGCGATTGAGTCAATATTATTATTTAAAGGAAAATAAAACATTAACAGAAATTAATACATAAAAAAATGATTTTATTGACTATAAATATATTTTATAGTATTAATTAAATATGATAATAAATAGAAGTAGGTGGACAATAAAGTTAAAAGGAGCGAGCATCATATAGAGGTCTGAATGTATGATGATAAAGTAAAAGAAGATAATAAATACTAATAATAATGAAATAATAAACTATTAATTAGACCTCATTTAACATTTAATACATTGTGCTATAAGCATAAGTTTGAGCAGAAATTATTGACAGGGTAATCATAAATAGTTAGTAATAAGTATTCAAATTCATATATTCAATAGCTTTTCCAAAAACTTTTTAGAGGGTAAAATTGTTTTCATCTCCAACCACTTCTACCATTACTACAATCACATACACAACATATGCATAGGCGTAAGGTGATCAAATATATTGGGCGGGGGAGGGACGCCCCACTATAGATTTTCAATGTAGTGTTTTGTGGGGGCCTGCCTCCACATTCCCCCTTTTATCGATTCATGATAATGAAATGAATTTAAAAAAAAAAAAATCATGCCTATTTATCTTTAATATAAATATTATATTTTTGTTATAATATCAAAGGCGACAAAATAATTTGAACATTTTACCAAATGCTAATATAAGAATTTTTGGAAAATATCAAATATCAATTATTCGTTTTTGAATAAATTACAATAAAATTTTAAAAATAAATTGAAAAGTAATAGCTGTAAATTAAGGGTCAAAATTGTAAAACTTCAAACGTTTATAAAAAATAAATGTGGTTTTCCAGTAAAATTTTATTGTTATTGTTAGAAGAACTTATAAGGAATCTTATATTCAATTTTTGAATCTTAGATAGGTATAAAAAGAAACATTTTATCAATTTCTAAGTCAGAGTAGTATGTAAATTGTCTTGACTTTTATGAATTTTGTCAAAATTATGTTTTTAAAAGCTTGTAAAATTATATATTTTTTTTAGTTACTTACACCAAAATAACCATATTGGTTTAGTCAAAAACTAGTATAGCATAAAAACAAATTTATCCTGTATTTTATTTTTTCCGATTATTATTATGAAAAGTACTGGGCATTTTAAATTTTTGCTTCACAAAAGTACCAACTTACTGCTCAGAATCTAAAATTATATTATTTATTATGTCCTGATGTGAAACACAATTGTGATAAATAATTACCAATGTGATAATATTAGTAAGTATTATGTTGTCATTGTTTTACATTTACATGAACGAAATACACAACATTAATTTTGGGGAGGGGCTAATATTTAAACGGAGTAGGGGGCAAAGCCTCACGGCAACAACACATAGGTAAATAAACTCATACTTGATATCATTTTCAAAATATTTTGACTTTTTGAACTATTTATCCATATTGTGAAAAAATTGAATACATGATTCTCGTTATTTGTTTATTAGAACTATTTAAAAATAATATAGATCCATATTGGCCTCCACACGAGTTTTACTCAGTGAGGCCTAGTAATCTTTACCGATATATATTAAAAAAAAAAAAAAATAGGCACAATGTTTTTTATATGTACCTATTTTTAGTTCAAATTTTAACAAAATTTGTCAAAATTATAAAAATTAGCAAATTATTTTGTTGTTCTACCTTTATAAAATCTACAATTTTTATAGCTAAAGGTTGAACATTTATTATAATTTTCCTCATAAGTAGTCGAGTAAGTAATTCAGTAACCAAAAAATTTAAAAATATTTTGACATCATTTTTTTTATAGTCATTTTATGTTAAAATTTGAATATAATTAGTAATTACATATTTAAACAAAGAATAACAATTTTAGTTATTTTGTTGTAATTCTAAAATATTATTTGAGGTTACTTGAAACTTATAACATATATTTTATACAAACATTAACATTTAAAATTTAATGTTTTTTTTAAAAATGTATACTTATAGGAAAAAAAATGTCTTTAACAGGAGTATAAATTATATTTAGGGAAACTGCCTGAGTGTTTGCTCGAAATCATTTTTGTATGCAATGATTTATCATTTATTTCAAATCTAACACACATTACTGAGACTTACTCCTCAATGATGTGGTACATATTATTTTTATATTATTATTATACCTATACTCTGTTCAAATATTGTTGCCGGCAGCCAGTTTCTATTAGGTCCGTAGCCAGGCAACACCCGTTTGTCATCCCCAACTAGTTAACTATCTGTATACCTTCTGTGTATTATTGTCAGGTCCCTGTGCTGAAGTTAGCCGCCGAAAACGTTTCTTAACTGAACAAAATATACAGGAGAGCGGTTACCTATTTTCCCTCTGTTTATTTGTTTATATATATTATTTAATTTTTAATCATCACAAATATCCATTAATTAAAATTGTATAAGAGATTATACTTATATTTCATATAATTTTATCTTAAAATGTAAAATCTTTATTTTTTC